CCTCGCCTCCAGGAGCCCCCCACAGAGCTGTCTGTGCAGCTGGCAGAGCCGGCTGGGCCCTGGACACAACGCTGCGGGGCACCAGCCCTGCTGGGGTCAGGCAGGTGCCGTTCCGGCCAGGCGGGAACGGGATCAGGCCCCTCATCTTGCTCCTGATCCTCTGGGGGTGCTGTGCTGAGCAGAAGTGGCCCCCTGAGGACTGAGACTCGGGCCTGGGGGCCTGGACAAGGTCCACGGCTCCCGCGGCTGCTGTCCTCAGGGCTCTCCTCATCCCCACTGTGTTCTCAGGAGCTGTTCTGAAGCTCTCCTGGGGAGGACAGGCCAGGAGCCACCCTGCCATGGCTGTCCTGGGCCCTCCGACAGACAGAGGCCTCGTGGAGCCGTGGAAGCAGCTTCACAGGGAAGCAGGAGGAGGCGCAACCGCAGAGGCCAGCTCTCCCAGGGACTGGCTGCCTCCCGAGGCTTCTAAACACCGTGGCGTCCACCTCTGGCTTGGGGTTTGGACTTCTTTTAGCAAAACGGTGTAGAATCCATGGCCCCCTATTCTTCTGGAAGAGAATGGAGGAAACCGTGGTCCCGTGTCTGCTGGGCGGGATTCCCGCAGGCCCCCCCTGCTACCAGCAGGCCCAGCTGTGAGGGTGACTGAGGTGGGGCTGGGGCCAGGGGCAGGGTGGGGTGGGGGTGGGCCAGCTTCCCTAGGACCCCCTTCCCGGCCATTGGCCGCCTTTCCCATCTGGAGCAGGAGAGAAAGGAGTGTGGGAGGGCCTGGTCCAGACCCACCAGAATCAGGCCAGCAGAGAACGTGCGTCCCCGCAGTCACGGCTGAGGAGGACGTTCAGGGGCACTGCCCTCAGGTGGCCTTAGGGGCTCTTCTTGCCAGAGCAGCATCACCTGAGGGCTGGGCGTGGCCGGGCACGAGGGGCCGGTGGGCCTGGGAGGGATCTGCAGGGCAGGTTGAGACGTGGTTCTGAAGCCGGGCACCTGCTCCCCAGAAGCTCCAGTGAGCACGCTCAACAAGGCGGTGTGGCGAGCTGGCCCCGAGCGTCCCCCACAGGGCCACACTCTCACTGGGGGAGCAGGAAGGCCCAGCGACCAGCAGCATGCTGCGGGGCTGGGAAAGGCCTGGGGGACAGGGTGTGGGGTGCAGGAGCCCTAAGGCCGACGCTGGTTAGGACACCAGGGGTGGGGACTGCACAGACAGCAGTTCCTCTGGACAGGGATCCCGCGTGGGCCGGGCTGTGCAAAGGACACGCTGGTCCCTGCTGGCCTCTCGGGGCAAGCGTGATGACCCTGGCCTGCTCCGGCCTCCGTCCCTGGGGGCCTTGTCCCTGCGCTGCACAGATAGGGCCCAGCCGCCCCAGTGGGAAGGGAAAGGGGGAGCGCTGTGCCAACTTGCGGGCTGTATGAGCCACAACGGCCACCTGCAGAGCCTGGGGCAGGGCTGAAGCTGGCCACGGAGGTCCTGGGGGGCCACCTCCACCTTCCAGCAGCAAATGCCAAGTCCCCAAATGCAGAATTCTGCCAGAGGGAGCATCACCATCTCTCTGTTGGTACCAAATGAGAGGAACGAAGACAGTGTCAGCCGCCGGGAGGGATCTACGTGTCCTCACGCTCTGTACTCATGGGTGGCCACATGCACCCGCACCCTCGCACAGGCACAGGCGGTCCTCAGGCTGCCACACTCAGGGTCTGTGTCTGCCCCTGGCACCTCCAACCCATTCCTTCCACCGGGCCAGGGCCAGGCCTGCACACCCACCACCTGCCACCTGCTGGGGCAGCAGCCACGCACTCCCCCGCTGCTCCCTGTTGGCGGCCGAGCGTGGGCCAGCCTTGTTGGGGGACACAGGACAATTCGGGGCACTTGCCTCGCCTCCGTCCTCCTTGGAGAGCCTCGGGCTCACCCTACGTGGCTCTGAACAACAAGGGCCAGGCTCTGCACCGGGAGACCCTTTGCCCTGCCAGCTGGACCCTTAGGCCGCTCAGAGGGCCAACCCCAGCACCTGCCCCTCGCCAGTGGACACAGGCTGCCAGCAGCATTGCGGCTGACCAGAGATGGAGATGAAGGCACCCTAGCTGGCAACATAGGGGCTCTGTGTCCGAGGGCCTCCTCGAGGAACAGAAACTGTGCCGAGGGCCTAGGGCCAGGCTGCAGTGAGCAGCTCTGACCCCAGGTGCCCAGGTGCCCACGCCAGCCAAGCTCACACCAGCAGCGTCGCTGCTCACAGGCCCCGCCAGGGGAGAGCAGGAGCACACACACAGCCGCGTGTATGAGGCCACACACATACACGCACACACGGATGTTTCCTCTTATCTCTATGACACACACCCCGAGCTCACACGCCCCAAGCCCATGGGTTCTATCTTGTCTCCCCTTTTCCATGTCTGCCAGAGATGCAGCCTCCATCTGTGATGAGACCTCAAAGCCACACGGGGAACCTTCCCTGAAAGGCCTGGCCTGGAAGCTTCAAAGATGCCAGGGCCCCGGCAGCCTGGGAAAGGCCCAGGAATGTTCTGAAGTGCTGGGAGGCTGGGGCAGGAGGATCAGCACCCCAAGCCAGCTGCTGGCCCCACGGTCTCGGTGCGGGGGATGGGGCCACACAGGTGCCTTCCCCGCCGTGGCTGCCCGTGCCATGCTCCCGATGGCCTCAGGGTTAGATTCTGACTGCGGGGCAGGGGGTGGACTGCGCGGCTGCTGCGGCCTCGAGGCTCCTGCTCGGCCCCCGCCGCCTCCGTCACTCCCTTGCTGCCCTGTGTGCAGAGTGCACTGGTATTTTCCATTTTGGGGTAAATGTTTAATCAAACATTTACAGAAAAGTCACAGGTAGAGTACAAAGAATGTTTTCCCTGCCTGGGCCGTCTGAAAGTCCGTTTTTTTTTTTTTTTTTTTGAGACGGAGTCTCGCTCTGTGGCCCAGGTTGGAGTGCAGTGGCGCGATCTCGGCTCACTGCAAGCTCCGCCTCCCGGGTTCACGCTATTCTCCTGCCTCAGCCTCCCAAGTACCTGGGACTACAGGCACCTGCCACCACGCCTGGCTAAGTTTTGTGTTTTCAGTAGAGATGGGGTCTCACCATGTTAGCCAGGATGGTCTCGATCTCCTGACCTCATGATCTGCCTGCCTCGGCCTCCCAAAGTGCTGGGATTACATATGTGAGCCACCGCGCCTGGCCTCGTTGCTGAATTTGTTTCTCACTCCACGTCCTTGAGTGCATTTTACAAACCAGGAAGTTTTTCACCTCACATAACCCAGCACAGTCGTCCTGGGGCAGGGCACGCCTCAGGGTCAGACCCCAGCCCGGGCTTTCCCATGGCCCAGTGATGTCCCTCACAGGAAGGAGATCAGCCTGGGACCACACATTGGAGAGAGCTGTCATTGTGTCTTCAGTCTCCGTCGGTCCGGAACATTCCTGGGCCTTTCCCTGACTGCCATGGTCCTGGCGTCTTTGAAGCTTCCAGGCCAGGCCTTTCAGGGAAGGTTCCCCCGTGTGGCCTTGTCTGAGGTCTCATCACAGAGAGACCTGGGTTACACATCTTTGGCAGGAAAGGAATGGATGCGACGCTGTGGTCTGCTCAGCCCACGCTACCGGGTGGGGCAGGATTTTCACTGATCCAGTACCAGTGGAGTCTACCGTGATGGCTCCGTGAGGGTGGTGGGGCGTCTGCATGGGGAGCTGACTCCTCCTCCCTCTGCCCTCCATGGGGGAAATTCCTCCATCCTGCCCCAGCCTGGATCTGCTGCTTCTCCAGGGAACCCCGGATTTTTTCAGATGCGATCCTGGGTGCTGCATCTGCTCCTGCCTGCTGGGGAGCCGCTGCCCACGGGCCCTGGCAGAGCCAGTGAGTGCACACGCACGCACACCTCCCCCCACACACGCACCTGCGCAGGCATACACACGCACCCGCACGCACACACGCACCTGTGTAGGCATACACATGCACCTGCATGCACACATGCACCTGTGCAGGCATGCACACGTGCACATGTGCACCTGCACAGACGCACACACATGCACACACGCACCTGTGCAGACACGCATGCTCACCTGTGCAGGCATACACACAGATGCACACGCATGTGCACACACACACATGTGCAGGGGCACACACACGCACACACACACACATGCACACGTGTACCTGTGCAGACACGCACACATGCACCTGCGCAGGCAAACACGCACATGCACCTGCGCAAGCACGCACACACACGTAGGCACGCACACACATGTACATGCGCACCTGCGCAGACACGCACGTGCACGCACACACACTTGCGCAGGCACGCACACGCACGCACACATGCACCTGCGTAGGCACGCACACACATATGCACATGCGCACCTGTGCAGGCACATACACATACGTGCACACACACACAGCCGTGTGTACACAGACATGCACACAAACGCACAGGTTCACTTTCCTCTCTATGATGCAAACCCCCAGTTCACACCCCTGAACGCAAGCCCACGGGTTCCTTCTTGTCCCCCCTTCTTTGTGTCTGTAGGCCCTGCTGCACCCCTCAGCGCAGGGATACCCCATGGACGCTGCCTCCATCACCCCCTCAGGCCCCGTGCTTGGGGGCTTCCCTGCTCCATTGGGCCCAACACCCAGACACAGCTCTGAGACCCCAATGGCTACCTCACTTGGCAGGACTTGATGGCTTTAGGACTGAATTGTTCCAGGCGGGAAGGGGAGGGAAGAACAGGAAGGAACCTGGAAGAGAAAAGGACCTGTGGAGGAGGAGGGAACCTGAAAGCTTAAGCTTTTACCCAAAAGAGCAGCCACCTCCAAAGAGGCTGCTTAACCCCAAGGGAGGGGTGCTCCACCCGCCTGCCAGCCAAAGAGCCCCTCGGCTCCCACACGCCTGCCTGAAGGCAGAGAATTAACCTTGCCCCTCCAACATCCCTGCTTAGTTTTAGACAGACGCACACCCCGAAGTCTGAGTTCATTTCCATTTTCATCCACTGTTCTGGCATTGGAAGCAACATGATATCTTTTTATACTGTATTTTTCTGGGACAGTCCCTCTATATGATGTGATTCCTAGAAAAAGAATTTATAGCACAAACATTCCTTTAAAAATATGGCTCTTTCATGCTACTCTGCCATAATTAACCATAGACAATTAATATTTAAAGCTGTTATCACCCCACGAGGCAATGAAATTTCCTGAAATTCTCTGCTGCACATTCAGACACTTTTACTGGCAAGATTGAATTAGTGGCAGAGGGCACCTTGATTTTTAAAATCATCTTACAATAATGATTGATTCTTCATAGATCCCATCTGATGAATACTCAAAACCATTTGTCCAACACATGAAAAAGAGAAACCACTCAGATCTGTTGAAAATATTCACTGGGAGGGTTTTGTGCATTAAACCAAAAAAAAAAAAAAGAAGAAGAAGAAAAGAAAAGCAACCTGACGTCCTCTCACGCCTGCAGCCTCTCTACGTTCCCAAATCCAATTCCCAGGGGATCGTTTGAGGCACTGGGGCCCAGCCGGCCTGACCGTGTCCACCCGCCATGGGCAGCACCTGCACTCCAACTCAATGGCCTAAATTATGGGGCCCAGGCAGACACCCCACTGACAACAAGGGACACAAAAGGGTTCTGCGCTGCAAGCTGTGGGTGGGAATTACAAAAGGTTAAGAGACTAAATATAAAAATCCTTTGAATATAAAATCAATGTGCTTTGTTACTAAAATCTGGGTGCTGTAATTTAACCAAAATAGGGTTTAGAGTATCTGGCAATAGTCCACGCCTTGGAAATCATCTTTTCTTCTCAACGAAATGCAAATCCTTATTTGAAAGTTAAAAACAACTAAACAACTGAAACATTTCATATCAACAAAATAATAAAATACTGTGATGTGCAATTATGTATCACTGACATTAGGCCTCCAGAAAGAGAAAGGATTTGCCCTCTTTGTCAACTTATTTCTATGAGTGAAAGGCAGGTTTCTGGAGGGTTTGTTCCCGGCTGCTGTCGGGTCTTCGAGGAAAGATGCCTGGGACCCCGAGTCCACGTCAGTTTGTTGGGGGCGAGTGTGAGCTCCCGGGAAGCCTGTCCCTGGGGTGGGCACAGCTGGGCTGAATTTCCAGCCTCCTCCACAGACAGTGGAGCAAGGCCTGTGCTCCCCACAACATGGGCATGAGGGGCGGGGCTGGAGGTGCTCCTGGGAGACCCCAGTGGCCTTGACCCAGCAGGAGGTGCCTTCCAGGGCCTTCTGTTTCCTTCAGTCCAGAGACCTCAGGGGTGGCACGGGGGTGACACAGGTGTGCTGGGCATCTGTGGCAGGTGTTTATCGGCCCCTGGCTGTCGCCCTGAGCTTCAGAACATGCTGAGACACTGGCAATTGCTTTAAAACGTGAGGCGGCTTGGCTTGGCTTGATTTCAGGTCTGACTCATGTCCGTGCTCTCTCAAAGCCCTCCTTCTCTCCCTCCTTTCCCCAGGGCAGCCCGACCTCTGTGCCCCAAAGCCCAGAGGCTGTGAAGTCTGGAGGTGGCTGAGAACATTCCAGTTTGTGTTTGTGGCAGGTGGACCAGCGCGGGGAGGCAGCACATCCCACTGTTCGGGCCGGCCCAGCTCCCCACGCACGACCCCCCGGGGCAGAGGCCACAGTGAGGCCTGTCGGGTGTCCTGCCAGGCAAAGTCCAGCTGGGACTGGCGGGGGTGCTGCTTGAGCACAGCTGCCCAGGATGGCCGGGTCAGCGCCCGTCTCCCACGCTCCCCACACACTCACCCCTAGCACTGGGCTTTCACTGCAAAAGCGGCAGGCGTAGAGTCTGTGGAGATGGAGGGTGAGACTAAAGGCTGTTTCAGGGTCATGGCAGGGCACCCCACCCAATTCCTTACCAGAGAAGCGAGTGAGGGTCCCTGGGCTCCTCCTGCAGGGGTGACTGGAGACTCAGGTCCTTGCCTGCCAGCCCTCTCCAGGACTTTCAAGTCGGTTGGTGCACCTGTGGGGACCCAGCAGGGGTCGTTCGTGACGAGCCATTTGGCAAAGAGCCATTCTCCCCTCCTCCTCTGGTAACAGAGTCTTTGCCGCGCTGCTTGTCTCTGTGTGGCCTCGTCTGGCTGTGTGGCCTGGTGTGGCCGGGCCGTGTAACCAAGTTCTGAGCAATGGCAGTGAGGGTGGCGCCTCCAGGAAGCTTCTTTAGAAGGGGAGGGCCCTAACCCCGCTTTTCTTCACGTTCTGGTCGCTTCGCATTCGTTGGTTTCATCTTTCTGAACTCTCACAATCACAGGGGTCAAATTCACACGCTTATCAAAAGCCTTAAAGGTGCCAGTGAAGACTCCGCCGTCTTGTAGGATACGTCTCATTCCGCGGTCCACGTGCAGCAGCATCTTGCTCCTCTGGCCCACGGTCATGATTGCCGTTCCACCACATCTGATGTCCACAGTTAAAACGTGGTGCTTCTGAACCTGGTATGAGGCCACCCACAGGCCTACCAATTGGGCTTCCCCCTGCTTGAGGGACGCCGGAAGGCATGCCCCCCTCCAGGAATGAGGCCCCCTCCACCAGGAATTAGAGGTCCACCTCCCCGATGAATGCGTCCATCAACACCCTAGCATACTGTTGATCCATCTCAGTCACTTTTTCCCCTGCAATGTGTCTTATGAAATTGTGTAGAGTGTTTGTGAGCTTTTTGTCCCCTCGTTCTGCAATAATAATAGCTAATAATAAATGCATAGAGCAATTAAAAAAAAAAGAAGGGGAGGGCCCTTCTCCTTGCCACTTATGCTTCCCCCTTTCTGCTAGCTGGAATAGGGGCATAATGGCTAGAGCCTGTGCAGCCATCCAGGACCATGAGGTGGTGCAGAAAGATGACAGTGGCAGAACAGGTAACAGGAACTGGGGTCCCCAGTGGCTGGGGAGGGAGGTCACCTCTCCCTCTTGAGCTCTGATGTGAGTGAGAAGTCATCTTGGCTGGACTGAAGTCACCCTAGTGTTGTTTGCTAAAAGCAGCCATGTCTCATCCTAAGCACATGGCCTGCCGGGAGGAAGCCAAAGTGGCGGGGCCATGGGGAAGCCTGTGCCACGCAGCAGGGGGTCAGCGGCGGGGAGCAACCCAAGGGGCCTGGCGAGAGCCATCCTGCTCTCTGGCTGTGGCCGGGCTTTGTTGCAGGTAGGTGTTCCCAGTGTGCGTAGTCTGTGACTGCGGGGAGAGGGCTGCCCAGACCTGGAGCTTCCGCCACGGATGCACGTGTCTCAGCCACTGGCTCAGGAGAGTCCTCGGAAGGGACTTTGGCAGGCAGGTACCCTGGAGATTTTCTGGCCCGAGTTTCCTTCAGGCCTCATGTTGGATTATCTTCTGGCCTGAAGCTCTCTGGCCTGACGTTTCTACCCTGCACATGAGTGGCCGTCCGCGTGGGAGATCCTGCTTGGTGGCTGGAAGGCGTGCCATGGTTGGTGTGGGGTGGGCACGTTTCCACAGGTGCCATCTCTGCAGCCACGGGACAGGGGTCTTACTGGGCATCCTGCGTCCCGTGGTCCCCGGCCCTCTCCCAGGTAAGCACAGAGACGGAAACTTGAGGCTGGGACCAGCACAGCTGCACACGGCCCCAGGACGCACTGCAGGCCAGGCCAGAGGCTTCAACGGGGCCCACCCGTTGGCAAGGGTCTGGCCAGAGGGAAGGACGCCCGTCTGGGAGCCAAGCAAGCAGCGCTGTGACCGGGCCAGGGACGAGTGTGAGCAAGGGACTTTGGTTTGTTTTTTTTGAGAATGTGAAGTTCACGCTTACAAGGAAATGATTCCTGGTGTATTTTCCCTGGACACGCGGGACAGCCTCAGAACGGCACCTTTTGTTTTCTTTCAGGACGATGGCTAAAGCCGGCCCCTGGTCCCCGCTGGCTGGTTGTGAGGTCTTCCTTGATTCTGGGGCCTCCCTGTGGCTGGGCCTGGGCCTGTCTGGAATTGGCTTCCCCTTCCAGGCCTGAGCAGGGGTTCCTGACTGAGGGAGGGGGCCCCGGGAGCTGCCCCAGACCTCGGGGTGATGCTGGTAGGCCCAGGTAGACAGAGCTGGGTTCCTGACACAGTGGGGCTGATACCTCTAGCCTCCCGGCCAGGACTACTCTTGTCTAAGCCATCATTATTTTAGTTTTCTCCTACTTGGGGATGAATGCTGTCCCGGCTGGAACTGAAACTTCGAAATGACTCCGTTTCCTCTGTAGGGCTCCTGGCCAGCGTCCCCAATCCCCTAGGGCCTGAGGGCTGTGGTGGGGGCCTGGTTGGGCTCCAGGTACTGAGTGGGGCCCTCTGCCCAGCACCCTGCTGTCCTGGGGCAGGGAGAACCCACCATGTCCTAGGGTGCTGTGAAGGCCACATGTTGGGGGCAGACTTTCAACGGGAGATGGGAATTGGGAAGAAAAGTTTGTGTCAACTGCTGCATGGAATGAAGGGGTCTGGAAGCAGCAAGCCCGATCAATCAGTCCTAAATGGCATTATGGATTACATAAAGAAGGGAAGATAAAGACTAAAGAGGCTGGGATGGTGGCTCATGCCTGTGATCTCAGCACTTTGAGGGGCCAAGGCGAGCAGGTCACGTGAGGCCAGGAGTTCGAGACCATCCTGGCCAACATGGCAAAACCCCATCTCTACTAAAAATACAAAAATTAGTCGGGTGTGGTGCTAGGGTGAGTCCTGCTGGGTCCTTGGCCCAGTCGCTGAGACAGGAGACAGACAAATCAAGGACCCTGCCGACCGTGCCCCGGGGACACATGCCCGACCCGCCCCTTCCCGCGAGGGAGTTCTCCAGTTTTAAGAAAAGGAAAGTGAAAGCAGCCTGTGATCCCAGCACTTCGGGAGGCTGAGGCGGGAGGATCGCTTGGACTCAGGAGTTTGAGACCAGCCTGGGCAACATGGCGAGGGCCTGTCTCTACAAAAAAATACAAAATATTAGCCAGGCATGGTGGCTCGTGCCTGTGGTCCCAGCTACTCTGGAGGCTAAGCTGGGAGGATCACCTGAGCCTGGGAGGTGGAGGCTGCAGTGAGCTGAGATCACGCCATTGCACTCCAGCCTGGGTGACGGAAAGGAAGTAGGAGCCTACTGGAGAGCCCCTCCCTGACTCTGGCCTCCCCCTCCTCTTCTCAGCATGGACTTGACTGCACCAGACCCCAGGCCAGGCTCCTCCCCTCCAGGGTGCCCCTGCACAGGTCGGAGTGGAGGCCAGCATGTGTACTCAGTCATCCGTCCTTGGGGTGGACACTGCTGTTACCCTCCCTTTATAGATGAGGAAACTGAGGCACAGAGAGGTTTAGTTTCACATCAGTGTGAAAGCAGCAGCCCAGCCTCCCAGGGTTGGTCTTGGATGCACCCATGAGCCCTAGGCAGAGCTTGGCACCAAACTCCAAATGTCTGGGGTTCAAGCTCCAGCAGGTCTTACAAAAACAAAAGCATGTACCTCTAGGTTTCCCAAGGGACATTTCTTTTGTGCTGGATAATTTATGGCTGGACACTCACATCATCGTCAGGCCAGAAATAGCCTGGGCCGGGCTGACAGTTGGGGGAGGCCCCCAGACCCAGGCAGTGGGGCTGGTGCAGGGGCCCGCGCGGGGTAGGGTGCGATGCAGGCACAAGGCTGGTTTTAATTGAGACCTTGGCTCCGAAAATCTCTCCAAGTAGAAGGCGTGGCGCCCAGTAAGTATTTTTATGCAGAAATATGAGAGCTATTCCACCTATGCGGCATAAAACTGCTTCTATAAACTGAGGTAAAGGCAGACGAGGGGGTGCGGGCTGGACCCCCCGTGGCCCTGCTGGCCCGAGGCTTGGCCGCCTTGGCCTCCCGTGGAGGCGCCGGGCCCTGCTGTCCCACCTGGGATGCCCGCATGCTCTTTTATATGAAGAATGACGCCGGGCTTGCTGCTCTGCTCACAGCCGTTGTTTGACGGAGCCTCATCTGATCCTAGAAGAATGAGCTCCCTACAAGCAGACCCCCGAGGCTCTGAGGCTCTGGCCACCAGCTGGGTGAGGTTTCCGGGGGCAGGGGCACAGGCATGGAAGGTGGCCCTGGTGGCGGAGGCTCTTCCCAGGACGGCGAGGGCCATTTCCCTGCTGCTTCCTCCCACTTAAGCTGTGTGAGTCACGGATCCTCAGGGAGAACTTGGGGCCAAGTGACCGGCCAAGAGTGCTGGCTGCTAAGAGGGGCTGCTGCAGACAGTGACCAGGAGGGTCACAGGCCACACAGTGCCTGGGAGAGAGGGTGCAGGCACAGCCTGCCAACCACACCCCTCAGCCCTGTCTCGCTGCAGGAGAGCCTGGAGCTGAGCTGAGCCCGCGAGGCAGTGTGGCTGGCTGCGCTGAGGTCTGGGGCACCCTTGGGACAGGCACACCTGGGCAGGAAGATGTGAGGGAGGCTTTGGGGCCTGCTAGGCTGGCTTAAGGGACAGGAAAGGGGGGTCCAGACCAAGGCTCACCAGACTCCGGCTTGGGAGGGGCTGGCCCTGCCTGCCCACCCCAGGGGCCTGGAGGGTCGGAATTGGGGCTCCCCCGAGTGGGACAGCCGGGTCAGGAGACTGTGAGGACTCAGGGGTGGCAGGTGGGGCTCAGGTCTAGAGTGGAGAGGCCTCAGAATTTGGGGAGGCGGTGGTGGTGCCATCTGTGCAAATCCTGGAGACAGCCTCCAGGGGACTTGGGGCTGCGTGTGGTGGGCAGGGCCGGGCAGAGACATGGCAGGGACTGAGCTCGCATCGGCCAAGGCAGGTGACAAGGGCCGGCATATGAGGCGCATTTGGGGATGATTCGGGGCATCTCATCAAACCTGGGACATTTACCTGCATGTGGAACGTGGTGGCGCACAGCCCACCCACGCTAAGTTGTGAATCTGGGCTCACCACAGCCTCTCAGATCTGCCCTGTGCTCCTCGACCCAGGAACCTGCAGCCTGTGTCCTCCCCAAGCAGCACTCCAGGCTCAGATTCCAGCTCTAGGGGCCGGGGACCTCAGTTGTCAGCTGGGCCCTCTTCAAAGGCCCCCAAACTCAAAGTGCCAGGCATTTGTACAGTGGGGACCCCCATGCCCGACCCCCATTTACTGAGCCTTGGGATGCAGGGCTGTGGCAAGAAGGACCCGGTGGCTGGCAGCACCCCAGGGCCTCCCAACGCTGTTAAGACTGTTCCCTCACTCTGGCACTGAGACGCACACCGTGCTGCACAGGAGGGTTTGACGTGCACACCGCTCGCTGCATGGGACACGCACACTGCACTGCACAGGAGGGTTTGACACGCACACCGTGCTGCATGGGAGGGTTTGACACGCACACCGTGCTGCATGGGACATGCACACTGCACTGCACAGGAGGATTTGACGTGCACATGGTTCACTGCATGGGAGGGTTTGACGCGCACACCGCGCTGCACGGGAGGGTTTAATGCGCACACCGCGCTGCACTGGAGGGTTTGACGCGTACACTGCACTGCACTGGAGGGTTTGACATGCACACGGTTCACTGCACTGGAGGGTTTGACGCGCACACCGCGCTGCACGGGAGGGTTTGACGCACACACTGCACTGCACGGGAGGGTTTGACGCACACACTGCACTGCACTGGAGGGTTTGACGTGTACACCGCACTGCACTGGAGGGTTTGACGCGCACACTGCACTACATGGGAAGGTTTGACAGGCACATCGCGCTGCACGGGAGGGATTAAGCTTTGACTCAAATCCATGAGTAACTCTGGAATGATCCGTGTGAAGTCTAGGCCACACATTCTATGGAAGTGCCGTTCTCACTGGCCCCAGCCTGGGGGGCAGAGTTGGGGGCTGGGGGTTCTGTCGGAGCACCTAGGCCTCATCTCCACGAGGAAACGTGAGGCCACCCATGCAGAAGTGCAGCAGCAGGAAACCCAGACCTTGAGAGAGCAGTGGGCGCCGCGGCCCCTCAGAGCCACAGCCAGCGGCCACTGTGGGGGCTACCAGGTGGCAAGAGTGGCTGGGGCCGTGTCCAGGCTGGCCACTGGCCTCAAGGCCTGGGTGAGTCTGCTGCCCTCAGCCAGGGAGACCCAGAAACTCTGCCCTGAGGACCCTACGAGGCTGAGCCCCTGCCAGGCTCAGGGGAGACGAACAATCGGCTTGAGCCTCCGCAGCCCCCCGGGACTGCTTGTCTGGGGATGCGGCTGCCTGGCCCTGCCTCCTTTCACCCACGTGTGACGACTGACCCTGGGTACGGCTTGCTCCTGCTCTGGCCTGGTTCTGGGTCCCCATGACCGCACATTCCCTTGACTGCTGGGCCTGGGCCCACCCACCCCCAACCCCCAACTGGTTTGTGAGCTCCACTTACCAAGCAGGCCACCGGGGGTGCCCTCCTGGCCACAGAGGGCACCCAAATCCAGCTCCAGGTCTCTCCTGGGCAGGGGTACGTCGGCTTCTGCACCTGTCTTGGCAGCTCTGGGCCCCGGCGCCCCAGCTGCGGGGCTGGACACAGGATAAGGGATGCATTCGAACCCACTGCAAAGGAATGGGGGCAGCTTGGCTCTGCTCACCCCACACCAAGCTAGGGTGCAGGCAGACAGCGTGCTCCGTGCCCTGGACCCAGGGACTTGCCTACACTGAGTCCAGGGAGTGCTACTCAGCCTCTCTGGGAGGTCTCCTGCTGGGATGGGATCAACAGAGGCCCAGAGAGAAAAAGGGCCTAGCCAGATAGCAGGTCTCAGCGTGAAGGAAGAGCTGCCTGCCGCCCCCACTATTCTTTTTTTTTTTTGAGACGGAGTCTTGCTCTGTCACCCAGGCTGGAGTGCAGTGGCGCGATCTCGGCTCACTACAAGCTCCGCCTCCTGGGTTCACGCCATTCTCCTGCCTCAGCCTCCCGAGTAGCTGGGACTACAGGCGCCCGCCACCTCGCCCGGCTAATTTTTTTGTATTTTTAGTAGAGACGGGGTTTCACCGTGTTAGCCAGGATGGTCTTGATCTCCTGACCTTGTGATCCGCCCGTCTCGGCCTCCCAAAGTGCTGGGATTACAGGCTTGAGCCACCGCACCCGGCCCCCATTATTCTTTATGACAACTCCAGCAGCATCACCTCTTGGGTGCATTCTGACTTTCACAGTGGGTCCAAGTTTACTGCAAATGTCAGACTGTCCTTAACTCTGGAGAAGGGCTGGTGGGAAAAGGGAGTGTCAGAGCTGTGGCGGTACACTCAGGTCTGGTCGCCTGGGGCACGGCTAAGTTCTGACTGTGAACGGGAAAATGCATGGATTGTCATGTGGCAGGGCTTAGAGTGAGGCCTCTTCCTGGAGTCCTGCAGCTCAGGCCTCTGTTTGCATGTGGGTTCGTGCACACACTGGCCTGGTCCAGCATCTTCCTGGGAGGCCTGGTGATGTGTGCATGGGGAGTGGCGCCCAACTAGGCCTGGCTGGTAAGGGCCGTTCCCCTCCTGGCTGCATCGAGAGGCCTGAGCATCTCTGCAGCCGACCCTCCTCCCAGGAGCACCCGAGGGCCGGAGTCCTGACGTCGCCCCTCCAGATATGGACCCAGGCCCAGAGGCTTCGGGGCCGATTTCTGGGGGAGACTGGGGGCTCTGACTAGGGGCTTGCGGTCTCAGAAGGCAAGAGGGACCACAGCAAAGGGTCAGATACTGAAATTCAAGGGAGCTGTTTCCTTAGAACAGACATCGAATATTTCATTTGTCATAACCAGGACTTAGCCCAGGTCTCCAGGGAAAAAAGGACAAGGAATTAATGTGATCTAAATGAACTCAAAACAAACTCAAAACTAACTCGTTGGTGTCACACGTACTCACAATGGGGTCTGGATGAGTGTCTCTTGGTTGTCTCCGTCCACTTTGAAAAAGCTGACCTCAGAATAGGCCGACAGCTGCACGTATCTGACGCCCGCTGAGATCTGCAGGACCCGGCCACTCTCGCCTTCCAGGAGAGAGGAGCAGGCAGTGAACACTCACAGGCACCCAGGAGCAGGGGGCGCGGGCACAGGGCTCACCAAGACTTGTCTGTGGGCCCGGGGCAGGCCTCTGGGACACTGTGTTTATAACTCGGCGGGGCCACATTTGCTGGCGGCCGTGGCCCCGGGGGGCTGAGTACCGCGGCTTGCCCTCCGTGGCCTCTCTGCTCCTCTCCCATGCCCTGCAGAAGTTTCCCGGCCCTGGGATCTCTGGTGCTGGCCACACTCACCCCAACACCCCTGTGCCCCTTGCCTCAGGTCCTGGATCCTGAATCTCCAGCTCTGGGCCTCGGGGACCCCTGGCTCCACCTCTGCCCGAGCCTGGGGGTGGCACACTATCAGAAGGCGTCTCCTTGCCAACCAGCCTCAGGGGTTCACCTCAGGTACACCCAGGCCCTGGGCTGGTCAGGGGCATGGGGTGGCACTGGCACTCACAAGCTCCTGGGGCCTCCAACGTGGTTCTCATCCCCCTGGTGGATAGCAGGCCTTCCATGCCCATCTCCCACCCTGACCCGGGGGGATGATCCCTCCACCAAGGTACCCAGCACAGGGCCTGGCACATAGCCGGTGCCCACCAAGTGTCTGCTGAGTCAGCTGCTTCATCCTGCACCCCATTGCTCCTGGGAACCTCAGGCTGCAGGTGGCCCCCAGAGGACTGTGCCCAAGGAGTGGACACCATTGTCCCTCTGAGTTGCTGAGTGCAGATGCTCTGGGCCCTGCTGGGCAGGTGGAGGTGGCGGAGTTGGGTGTTCAGCCACACTCAGAAGACCCCACGTGGGAGCTGGATAGCAGGGAGGAGTGGCTTGGGCACCGTGGGTGGAGGCAAGATGGCTGTGTCGAGAGGAGCAAAGAGGAAGAGGAAGGAGGCCAGGTGCGGTGGCTCACACCCGTAATTCCAGCACTTTAGGAGGATCACCTGAGGTCAGGAGTTTGAGACCAGCGAAACCTGTCTCTACTAAAAATACAAAAATTAGTCAAGGGTGGTGGCAGACACCTGTAATCATCCCAGCTCCTTGGGAGGCTGAGGCAGGAGAATCACTTGAACCCAGGAGGCGGAGGCTGCAGTGAGCCGGGATCCGGCCACTGCACTCCAGCCTGGGAGACAGAGAGAGAGTTCGTCTCAAAAAAAAAAAAAAAGAAAAGAAAAGAAAGAAAGAAAGAAAGAAAAGAAGAGGAAGGAGACCAGTTCAGGGCCCCAGAGTGGATGCCAAGCTCTGGGATGGGTTCCCAGGTGGGAAGTGACTGGACTTCAGCGAACATGGGCTATTTGGACAAAGCAGGGCCCAGGCGGGCTCCCACTTGGGGTGGCGGTGGAGGGTCGCCTCAGAGCCTAGGCTGTCCCCGATCATCACCGATGAAGTATCACACCCTGCACCCCTAGCACTAGGCACAGGTCCAGGGCCTGGTCATGTGGACTCTGAGGTCAAGGTCCCATGGAGAAGGAAAGGTCAACAGGAACCCAGCCTAAGATCTGGTGCAGGAGACGTGACTGAGAAAGCAAAGATGTGAAATGTAAAAACACCAGCGTAGCCTGCTGGACTTCCGTATGGGGACGGAGTGACTGGGATCGACGGACACCCCGGTTCAAACAACCAAGAACACTGACAAAGTGCGATGAAATTGATCACCAGGATCCCGGACACCAGCAACTCAGGACAGATTCTTCAAAGAAGGAAACAAACGGTGTGGCCACTGCCTTAAGAGAACGTGCAGGATGAGCTGCAGACAGAGGAAACTGAGGCACAGCCCAACAAACCCCTCAGTTGAGAAAAATGAGCAGAGAATCTGGGGAACAAGGCACACAGTCAGTTTTTTTTTTTTTTTTTTGAGTCGGAGTCTCACTCTGTCACCCAGGCTGGAGTGCAGTGGCCAGATCTCAGCTCACTGCAAGCTCCGCCTCCCGGGTTTACGCCATTCTCCTGCCTCAGCCTCCCAAGCAGCTGGGACTACAGGTGCCCGCCACCACGCCCAGCTAGTTTTTTTTTGTATTTTAGTAGAGACGGGGTTTCACCGTGTTAGCCAGGATGGTCTCGATCTCCTGACCTTGTGATCTGCCCGTCTCGGCCTCCCAAAGTGCTGGGATTACAGGCTTGAGCCACCGCGCCCGGCCTCAGAGTTTTAAAGTTCAAAAGGCAGAGCAGCGAAGAGGAGAGAGAGGACCCTGAGTAGAGGGAGGACCCCGCAGCCTGCAGGAGGCCCTGGAATACTCAGCGGAGCACCAGTCAGCACAGCTGGGACGAAACTCCACAAGGCTGGGGAAGAACCACCCGAAGAATTAAGAGGGACCAGGACCTGGGCCTCACACAGGACTGGGCATGGTGCCTGTTCTCATCGGCCAGGCTGGAAAAACTCAGAAGTCACAGGAAGCTGGGACAAGCTCTCAGAAGGTTCTTGCTACAGTTATGGGGAACCATTGGTGTGAGGCAGACAGGTCTCCAGCAGACCTGCCCAACAAATCATAAACGCAAGAGCCAGGAGGACTTAACTGTCTCCAAGTCACTGAACTGTGCCCCAGAACAAAGCTCAAGAATATTGACAGGAATACAAAAATATCCAGTACCCAACAAGGTAAAATTTACAATGTCTGGCATCCAGTCAAAGATTACGAGGCATGCAAAGAATGCAGGAAAGTATGGCCCATAACAAGGAGAAAAATACATTGAAACTGTCCAAAACCGACACGGATGTTAGAATCAGCAGTAAAGGACATTCAAGCATGGTCATCATCACTGTATTCCATGTTCTAAAGTTAAATAGAGACACAGAAGATGTAAAAAAAGAACAAAGAGCCGGGCGCGGTGGCTCGCACCTGTAATCCCAGCACTTTGGGAGGCTGAGGTGGGCAGATCACCTGAGGTCAGAAGTTTGAGACCAGCCTGGCCAACATGGTGAAACCCCATCTCTAATAAAAATACAAAAAATTAGCTGGGTGTGGTGGCACATGTCTGTCATCCCAGCTACTTGGGAGGCTGAAGCGGGAGAATCATTTGAACCTGGCAGGTGGAGGTTGCAGTGAGCTGAGATTGCGCCACTGGACTCCAGCCTGGGAGACAGAGCGAGACTCTGTCTCCATCAATCAATCAATCAATAAGAAAAAAGAATGATGTGAAACTTCTGGTGATGAAAACTATAATGTATGAGATAAAAAAATATGCTGTTGCTCACAACAGGTTAAACATTGCAGAAGAAAAGATTTATGAACCTGGAAATGCGGTTGACCCTGGGCCAACATGGGAATGCCGGCCGCTGACCCTCCATGCGGCTGAAAATCCACATGTCGATTCTGACTCCTTCATGACTTAACTCTAATAGCATACTGTTGACCAGAAGCCTTGTTGATAACAGAAACTGTTGATTAACACGTATTTTGTATGTTGTATCTATTAAATACTGTATTCTTAAAATAAAGTAAGCTAGAAGAAAGAAAATCATAGTAAAAGAAAACAAGGCCGGGCGCAGTGGCTCACGCCTGTAATCCCAGCACCTTGGGAGGCTGAGGCAGGTGGATCACGAGGTCAGGAGTTTGAGACCAGCCTGGCCAATATGGTGAAACTCCATCTCTACTAAATATACAAATTTTTTTTTTTTTTTTTCCGAGACGGAGTCTCGCTGTTGCCCAGGCTGGAGTGCAGTAGCCCAATCTCAGCTCACTGCAAGCTCCGCCTCCCGGGTTTATGCCATTCTCCTGCCTCAGCCTCCCAAGTAGCTGGGACTATAGGCACCCGCCACCTCGCCCGGCTAATTTTTGTATTTTTTAGTAGAGATGGGGTTTCACCGTGTTAGCCAGGATGGTCTTGATCTCCTGACCTTGTGATCCGCCCGTCTCGGCCTCCCAAAGTGCTGGGATTACAGGCTTGAGCCACCGTGCCTGGCCCTAAATATACAAATATTAGCCGGGCGTGGTGGCACATGCCTGTAATCCCAGCTACTGGGGAGGCTGAGGCAGGAGAATTGCTTGAACCCAGGAGGTGGAGGTTGCAATGAGCTGAGATCATGCCACTGCACTCCAGCCTGGGCGACAGAATGAGACATCTCAAAAACCCCAAAAAACAAAAAACATATTTACTATTTATTAAGTGGAAGTGGATTATCATAAAGCTCATCCTTGTCTTCACACTGAATAGACTGAGGAGGAGAAGGAAGAAGAGGGGTTGGTCTTGCTGTTTTGGGGGTGGCCGAGGCAGAGGAAAACCTGTGTATGAGTGGATCCCGCAGTTCAAACCTGTGTTGTTCAACTGTACAGCTGTAGAAGCCATCCCAAGTGAACCATCGAGGGAAAAAAAAGTAAGAAAGAAAAAACAAGAAGGAAGAAAGGAAGGGAACCAGTGAACAGTGGGACAACCTCAAGTAACCCAATCATGGGTAACACATGGGAGAGGCTGTGCCAGAAAAACTACTGGAAGAAATAATGGTTGAAAATTTTCCAAATTTAATGAAAACAACTGAGGTCAGGAGTTTGAGACCAGCCTGGCCTACATGGCGAAATCCTATCTCTACTAAAAATACAAAAAAAAATTAGCTAGGCGTGGTGGTGGGTGCCTGTCATCCCAGCTATTCGGGAGGCTGAGGCAGGAGAATTGCTTGAACCTGGGAGGCAGAGGTTGCAGTGAGCTGAGATGGTGCCATTGTACTCCAGCCTGGGTGACAGAGCAAAACAAAAAAAAAAAAAAAAAAAAAAAAAAAAAAGAAAGAAAAACTAAAATCAAGATGCTTTCAGACATACAAAAGCGGAAAGAATTCATTACTAGCAAACCTGTACTACAAGAAATGTTAAAGATTAAGTCCTTCAGGCAGAGGAAAATGAAAGCAGATGGAAATATGGATCCGCAGGAAGAAGCAAGAAGAACCAGAAGCCACAGCAATGCGGGTCAACAGAAGAGACCTGCTTACTGTTTATTAAGCAGACATTAAAACCTAAGTGGTCATTTAAATAAAAATAACAATGTATTATTCATTTTATTACATA